GCGAAAGAAAAAAAGATTTCTTATAGTCAGCTTTAGATCTTTGTCAATATTTTTTTTTCTTGATGCTTTGAAGACACTCGATGGGTTGTAACCTGTGTTTTCTTGCGCTATTGATATATTTTTTTGGAGTGAATACTTTCCCTTTTTGTTATAGTTTAAGGTTTAACATAAGGAATGATGTTGTATCCCTTGGTATTTAGGACTCGGCTATTCTGATCATAAGAATGCCTTTTATGAGATTTATTTAATTTTTTGAACTATATGTATATATATATATATAATGGTGATAATGATGTTTGTACACTATACCAATTATATTCATTCTTTCTTCTTTTATTTTTTTAGCATATTTAGTTCATTGAACCATCAGTCTTTGTGTTATTTTTGTTGGTTACATTCAACTTAAAATACTAAAAATTTGGCACATTAATCGATGTTAGCTTGAGATGATATCAATGAATCACAATGGAGTGATATGAGATTAGTCTACTCTAGGAACTCATGACATAAATAATATTGAAGTAAAAAAATCTAATGTTTCTTTGGGAAATTATGATTCTAGAATCTCTAAATCTAAAATAATGGGAATATCCATGGGGATTCAGATTTCTTGCTTGTATATTATTTGATCTCATGAGTCCCTATGGCAGATTGATCCTATAACAATTCTTCATGTTGATTTATTGATATCAACTAAGGCTAGTTTCTCTTAATTTAAACTCATGTTTCTCTCTTATTATATATAGCTTAAAAATAAATAGATTTCATAAAAAAACTGACAAGAATCTTCTGATTAAGAAAAGTCTAATATTTTTTCTTGGTCATGCAGACTAGGAGCTATGATGATCCGGAAAGATGGACAACCATGGGATCTTGATGGGGCTGCCCTCCTATCTTTTAGTTTATTCACTCTTTTTTTTAGGATAAGTCAGCCTTTCCCCTTATTTTGTAGGTTAGACATTTTCTATAGGTTGATCCCTTCTCTTTAGCTTGTCATACCTAGGTTCATCCCTCATTGTTTTACTACTTTTTGCAGTTTTATGAGTTATAGGCCCTCTATTCCTTTACCGCTTTCTTGAGCTATAGTTTTGGCTTTTTTGATGATCCAAATACTGTCTAATATGTCAGAATATGAGCCGCATCATCTTTGAGGTTGTCTAACTTAGCTTTCATTCTCTTGAATGTCCTTATACCAAGAATATATGCTTTAAAAATTAAAGCAAATTGCTTCTCAATGGAATAAAGATTCTTTCTATTGAAGACATGTTAATTTTGATCATATCCAATGACTGTCTCTTTTTTCCTTAAAACTCACTCCTCTCAATAAATCACATCCACCAATTTATGAGTCAAACATGCCGTTGGAGTTCTTCATCGTTAGTTACATTATAAATTGCCTATTCAACTATGCTTCAATGTTCATTAATTTTGACTTCTTTTTTTTTACTTCATATAATTTTTATTGGATGAGATTAATTATCAACAAATAAATACAACTTAAAAAATTAGCAAGATTTCTTAATTGACAATTTTATTGGTCATTGCTCACAATGTAATTGAACTTGAGAACAATGTTCTTTTGGGAGGTTATGCCCATATTCTTTAAATTTTAAATAATGGGAGTTTCCACGGTTTTCGATCTTCTGTTTGCTATTATTGATGCCATGAATTCCTATGTTAGATTGATCTGTTATTAGTCATCTATTGGGATTCATTGATATCATCTCAAGCCAATATCCCTTGATTTCAAATCCTTTTTCTTCCATATTATATGTAGTTAAAATACATAAAAATAAATTTCATCAAAAACAGTTAGCGGATAGGCTATGTTTATAATAGTCATTTTTATATGAACTCCTTGAGGGTTTGGTTATTTGTTGGTCTCATTGATATGTTGTCATATAATTTCGACTTCCTGTTGATGAATACGTCTCTTGAATCCCTTAAAATTGCTACACTTGTGTACCGCTGACTATTATTTTTTTTCTGACCATCTCTTCCACTCAAGTAGTGAAGACTGAACGGATGAAGCTTTGCTGAGAAGGTGGCACCAAAGTGTGCCATGAATGTTGACTTCATTTTTCTGCTTACTCAATACTTCATAATGAAGTTAGGCTATGGTATTTACGTGCTTAAATATTATAACTACCATGATTTCTTCCTTTGATGTGTACGCTCTTCTGATTTCTTCAGTGGTTGGTGGAAGAACTTAATAATATTTATTGTTAATATTCTATAAAATATAAACATAGAAGTGATGTTAGGCTGGAAAATGTCATTCCACTCCTTTTCATCTTCATCAGGTAGCAATAAATCAAGTGGGTTTATCCTAGAAGATTACTTTTGGAGAGTTATTATTAGATTAAAAAAATCAGAATCATTTCATGGTGAATATACCAAAAATCTAAATGTGAACTCCCTCCTCGCCTTCAATGCGAGGCTCTTTACTGATGCTCGAAGGCTCGGAGAAGTGCCTTTGATGGAGAAGAACCTGATACGATCCAACGTAGAAATCAACACTTTTCTCTATAGAAATTAGGGTAAATAAATATTTTTCTTCAATAACGTCAAATCAAAGCAATACAACACTAACAATTCTCACGAACACATAAGATAAACACCTACAATTTGAGAGATAGACAATCTCTCCCAATTCTTACAATTCGAGAGATAGAAAGTCTACCCCAAACCCTAAATTTAAGACTCACAAAAATAACTCATGCGTACCTAACCCTAAACTTATTAGACTTTATTTATATTAAAAAATAATAAATAATAAAAGACTAAATTACCGTTAGGTTAATAAAAAGGCAAAATTGCCCTTAGGCTAGGCAGCGGTGTAACGCCTCCCTTCCCTTAAATACACCTTATCCTCAAGGGGTAGGAAAAAGTGAGGGTGTTCCTCCTCCTCCATCTTCGTCTTTGTTTCTTCATTCACTGCCTTATCGTCATACATTGTGAGAGTCTATAATGTTCGATATTTGCAATGTTTTCTTGGGCTAAACTTCTCATTACTCCGAAAATACTTACGTCTTGGCTCATTTTTCCTAAATCTCTATCTCTGTAAGGCGCTCGAGTGTCGCTCCCGGTCGCGACCCATGATTCTTATTCTATGAAGCTTTTCTCTGAACTTCAACTAATTAGGATTTGATATCGTTGTGATTGTACTAATTTTGTATGTTGCTCTACCCGTGCTACTCCTATTAGCCTATTCCATGGCATTATCATCTTCAACCAAATGCGCTAATTCTATAATTGCTCCCAAGCATCCCGGTCTCAACGACCGAAGAGTTGCAGGAATGTCATGCTTTATACCCTTCATGAAGTTCCTCTTCAATACTGCTTCAGAAAGTCTCCTCAGCCATCCCGACAAGCGCTCAAATATGTCCTTATACTCCATGACAATCCATTCCCTAGTAAATACAAAGAATTGTTCGTGTAGGTTTTGTTCTTGAATGACTCAAACACGTTCCAACAAGCAATATTTAAATTCTTTCCAAGAGTAGATTAGGTTTCTATCCTCCCTTCACTGAAACCATGTTAGGGCTTTCCCCTTTAAACATAAAACTGCTGCCATGAGCTCCTCCTCCCCATTTAGCCCATTCATCGTGAAATATCACTCCACCCGGTACACCTGCAAATGCGTGTCTTCCCCCTCCAAGATTCACATCTTCAACTTTCTAACCCTAGCATTTCCACCCTCAATTTCTTTCCATCCGTTGTTTTCCCCCATGTATCAAGGGTAAAACTTTCTCCTTTGATCATATCCATATCCCATCCTTACTTTTTTCATTTCTTCTTTGTGCTCCTCCATGTCCCTTGCATAATCTATTCTCCATGTTTCGACCTAACTGTCTCCATTAAAAATTTCTATTTCAACCCCTTCGGAGTTCTAGAATGGAGTTGTTGAAGGTGAATGTTTTCCTCATGTTCGAGCTCCTTCTCTTTCAGTTCGACCACATAATCTCCAATCAACCCTTAGTTAGGGTTTGTAAATTGAGCTGCCGGCGGGACCTTGAATTGCATCTCAATAATAGTTCTTATCGTCTCCTCCAAGCTTCAGAATTGGTTTTTCATGGAAAGAAACCTATTTTCTAAGGAGAAAGCCCTTCATTCTATGGCAGAGAACCTTTCTCCATCCCAAATTTAAGTTGGCTCGCATATTTCCACAATTTCTTCTCTAAATCATCTACTTTCTTTGGTGCCATCATTCCCCAATAAGTTTTCGATCAAACATAGCAATACAATGACAGAGAACTATTTTCTTCAATAACATCAAACAAAGCAATACAACAATAACAACTCCCACGAGCACATAAAATAAGCACCTACAATTCGAGAGGTAGACGATCTATCCCAATTCCTATAATTCGAGAGGTAGAAAGTCTCTCCTAAACCTTAAACCTTTGACTCACAATAATAATCTCTTGCATACCTAATCCTAAATCTATTAGGTTATATTTAGACAAAACAATAATAAATAATAAAAGATGAAATTGCCCTTAAGTTAATTAAAGATATAGCTAGGTACCGGCATAAAAAAACCCTAATTTAAAAGAATGAGAAGAAGATGAGCATGGTGTTAAGAAGATGAGCATGGAGTTAATACAATTCAAATTTAAAGGAAAAAAATGCCATGCCAACTAAATTAATGAAATATTTAATGCCATTAGCCAAAAGGAACTGTGAAGATGGTAAGTATGCAGGGAACCAAAATGAAATCTCAAAATGCACTAGGACCTAAATATAAGGTTTACAAAAATGTTAACCTTTGTATAGAACGGTGCAAATCCCGGTGAGCCGCTTGATAATTACATGATAATTGATTGCATCCATTTATATAGGCTAATTATATTGGATAACTTGTGGATTGCTAAAGCTTAATCGTTCTTTTAGTTTATTTTCGAAGTGACCGGGCAATAGTAATTTTATTTGAGATATTGAAAAGATTATATTTACAATCATAAAACTGATGATTACTTGTTGTATTCTACATGCAGAAAGCTTGTTTTAAATGTTCGCTACCAATTTCTGAAGATTCAGCTCGACCGAATTTAGGTATTACTTGATTTTTGTTTTTTGTCTAGAAATTCACCTGCAAGTAGTTTCTGCTAAGAAGCACTTTGGTTAACTTGACTTGTAAATTCTAGTCTCCTCATTTTCATTTTGTTTTCTAGCTCTTGACAATTATTAGTCGAATGTTTTTTGTTGAATTATATACTTCTAGTATTGTTATTATATGCTCTCTTTTATTTTTGCGCTTGTGTGTGTAGTCTTTGCATTTATTTTACATGTCTTTCACTTAGCTTTGAAATTTTTTAGGAGTTATTATTAATTTATTATGCGTTTTATTTGGTGTAGCATTCATGGCAAATATTCTTTAGATTAGACCCCTTTTTTCTGTTCAGGACCAAGCGCCGTTTTCTCATCCGATGCTCCTTTTTTGAATTTATTGCATTTATTGGCATGCATGCATCTGTTCTTAATTTCTTATTTTAGGCATTTACATAGCACAAAATAGTTACATATTTCACTTTTAAAAAGTGATAATAGTGTTATTCTTGATGTGATATTAAATGATCGAGCGTTGTGTGTCTAAATATTAAAGTTTAGGCGCGAGATATGTAAATGCATAAGAATTATGTGCAGCATATGTAAATTTCCCAACTTATTTATGTTGGACAGTCTGAGGCTGTAGTTTTTCTTTTTACAGCTACGTTCTTCTCCCTCAAGCATATTGCTTCCCGTGCCATTAATTTTGATCAAGTTTGGCTATCGGAAATTCTGTTCATTTGTTATATTGCTGTTGTTGGAAGCTTTTGTTATTCATGTTCCATAAGTTACCACCTTCTTCAGTGATTACGCATGATGCTTGGTATTTTGTAAGTTTTTATTTAAAATGAAAACTATGGTGATATTCACTTTATACAACAACAACAAAACCTTAATCCCACTATGTGCGGTCGGGTTCATGAATCTTTTTTTTCCATTGCGTCCTATTTAGTGTCATATTTTCATGTAGTTCTAATAAATTAAGATCATTTTTTATATAGTAAGCCGAAGGTTTCCTAGGTCTATCTCTGCCTTTCTTAACATAAGTTGAGTCTAAAACATCTACTCTCTTAATCGGATCATCAGATGGTCGACATTTAATGTGACCAAATCATCTAAGATGACTCTCTCTAATTTTGTCCGTCACTGGAGCTACACCAACCCTATCACGGAGATATTCATTTCACATTTTGTTTGAAGTGTAAAGCCACTCATCCACCTAATCATTCTCATCTCAGCAACACTTAACTTAGTATTATGCTTCTCTTTTAAAGGTTAACATCCAACGCCATAGAGCATTGTAGGTCTCACCACCGTCTTATAAAAATTTCCTTTTAGTCTAAGCGGTTAGTCTAAGCGGTACTAAAGGGCCGAAGAATTCCTCCACTTCAACCAACTTGAATTCTACTATTAACATCCCCATCTATATCATCATCGCTCTGAATAACAGACCCGAGATATCTAAATCGTTCACACATTTAATTATTTGATCTCCCAAAGTTACACTTCTATTACTAGGCTACTACTAAAATTAAATTCCATGTATTCAGTTTTAGTTCTACTCAAATGAAGGTCTTTAGACTCCAATGTACACCTCCAAAATTCAAGTTTTTCCTAGGCTTTTTCTCTCATCTTATCCACGAGAAGGATATCATCATAAAAAAGCATACACCAAGGTGCATTACCCCTGTGAATGTCCAGTAAGACCATCCATAACTAAAGCAAAAAGATATGGGCTTAAAGCCGATCCCTGCTGTAACCCAACAAAAATAGGAAAATAATTGGTCAATTCTCCATCAATTCGAACACAAGTAACAACTCTAGTATACATATTTTTAATGACTTGAATATAAGTCATATCAACACATTTCTTTTCAAGAACTCTCCAACAAATATCTTTTGGAACTTTATTGTAAGCTTTTTCTAAATCAATAAAAATCAAATGTAGATCCTCCTTGTTATCGCTCAACTTCTCCATAAAACCTTTCAATAAATGTATAGCTTCCATAGTAACTTGCATGGCATAAATCCAAATTGATTATGAGAAATCTTTGTAATACGTCTTAACCTATTTTCAATTACCCTCTCCCATAATTTTAAAGTATGGCACATCAAGTTAATTCCTCCATAATTTACACACTCTTGTGCATCCCCTTTATTCTTAAAAATGATGACCAAGATACTCTTCCTCCACTCCGCAGACATCTTTTTTGTTTTTAAAATAATATTAAAGAGTTTAGTGAGCCAAGAAACTCCCACGTATCCTAAAAATTTCCACACTTTAATTGGGATATCCCCTTTATTCTTGATATTCACTTTATGCTACAAAAAAGAAATATTGCCATTTACCTACATTATCAAGTGTGTACGGGGAAAATCATTAATTTGAAGAAGCATTTTTGCTTGTCCAAGGAATTATAAATTGATATTCAAAGGGAGTAATATTTAATATAAAATGATTCTAAATTAGTATTTAAAATTTATAAAAAATTGTATAAAGCACTACATTAAGTAGATTAGCAAAGGTCATAAGATGTTTGTCTTGTTGCACAAGACTTATTTAATAGACAGTGAAAATAAACAATAACTAAAAATAAGATAAATGAAATGAAAGTATGTAAGATAGATTCACCAAGTTAGCAAATAGCAAGCTAATTTGATGGGTAAAGCGTATCTACGTTAAGGTTAAATCTTACTTTTTCTAATAGAAAATTATTATGAGAGGACATCTAACCAAAGTTTATTCTTCCATAGAACCGCAAAAAGCTATTTCAACTATAACTTTTCTTTATCCCCATTGAACACATCCATAATTTTAAAAGTAGAGAGATCAGTTAGATATACTATGATTTTTTATTTTGCCTTACATATAAGTAATATTATCTAATAAAGGATGAACTAAGAGATATGCATTTAAAACAAAAGGAGGCATCCTAATGAAATCTCAAAAAATTTCTACTAAAATGCTCTACAACACAGTCGAATTGCCAATTACCTGTCACCTAGAAAAAACATTGATGTTATCCAATAGGCGCATCATGTAGAGTGAGTGGGCATAGTTTTTAGCAGAAAGTTACAGACATGAATTGTTCATCAAGGAAAAAGATGAAAGCTTGGCTGTGCTTTGCCCAATTGGATTCATTCTAGTTTAAACTACAATTTATATTTGCTGATTTTTTCTATTGTAGCTTGCATTGCACAGAAATCTACACCTAAAATTCGCATGTTGCTGTAGTTTAACATGAAAATTTAGTTCAATGATCATCTGCTCTGCGTTGATTAAAGATTCAACCATCTGATGCAACATTGAATCGACAATGACATTCTAACTTTTAAAAGGTCATGACTTAGTATGCCCAACGAGGTTTCATTTTAATTATTTTTCTAATTGACTGAAGTATAAGAAGCATAGTGATGTTCACTCATGTGGTTAACTATATGTAGACATATATGAGAATGAGCAAGTTTTTCTTCAAAATTTTAAATAAAGAAAATTTAACTTTATTTCCTTTGAGTTGTTTGAACACTAAAATCTTATAACTTATTTTACAAAATGAAGGCATTGTTAGTACAATGAAGACTTGACGTGCTACCAAAAAAATCTTCATTTTTTACATGATTTTTAGATATTGAACAACAATATTTGGACCAGGAACCTTAACAGTTAATTTTGGGATCATTTGAATGCAAATTTTTTGATGACTTTAGCCGAGGTGGTGTGGTTTGACAAGGCTAACTCAATGACATCAAGAAAAAATTGATCCGATTCTAATTTACAGTGCCTTTGGGGCGGCAGTGTGTCCGCACCACAGTTTTTTGAAAGCTGCATTTTCCCACTAGACCTGGTTACCTGCGGTGTCTGCTAAATGTTGCGATCTGACTTTTTCAATTTTTTTTATTTTTTTATAATAGTCACCATAACTTTTTGACATCAACTTATCCTTCAGCAGCTTCACATCTGTTTCTTCAAACAAATTTAGCTGCCCCAAACAGACCTTTAGCTTAACTAAAACACTTATAAACATAATAAATTTTTTTTGAGATAATTTGGGAGATGTTGAATCCTCCAAAATTTGTCCTATTATTGTTAAAAATGAGTGCCTCGACAATGTGTACCATAGGAGCTCAATATTTCTTAATTTTTTACTCATTAAAGCATTTTGTGTTTGGGAAAATAAACATGATCAACTAACATTTATTCAAACTATTTGATAGATTATTCATATTTTTTACAAAAAAGATGATATTGCCTTAAAATAATCGATAAATACTCTTTTTTATCACAATCAAAGGACGTTTGGTGGGAATAGTTCTCAAATTTGGAGAATTTCAATGTTTTATCTATCGTCACCTGGCTGGCAACCATTAACCAATATTTGTATGCTAAAATATATATTCAAAGATGGTGGCATGGAACACATAAATTGAAGGTGATGCTTGTTTGAGGCTTAGCAATACTCTCTCGAGGCTTAGTGTCACTCACCCGTGATTGAATGACTCAGAAGAATTCTCTAGGTTAGGGGTGTAACTCTGCCAAGCTAACTTGTAACTTGTAAGACAACTCAGGCTCGACTCAATAATAGCTCACGAGCTGAGTTCGATGAGCTAATAATCCAAGCTTATGCTAGCTCCATTGATTTGTTAGCTTGTGAGCTGGTTCTTTTAAACAAATATTAATATAATATAACTTATAGTATGGTAAAATTTATGAGTTTGCATATAATTTTTTAAAAATATTAAAAAAAAACTATATTTTATATATGTATATGAAATGAATTTTTAAAATTATCTTTGATATTTTTTTTTCATGTTATTCTAATAACAATTTGGATCAATATTATTTTCTCTTTTGTAATAAATGAGTTGGCTTATACGTTGTCTTGAACTCATAGAAGTAAATCAAGTTTAGCTCAGACTTGATTATATTAGGCAACCTCAAGCTTTTTATGGCTCGAACTCGTCGCCACTTGTTTACATTCCTAGTTCATACATATATGTCCTAGCCC